TCTCAACGTGGCGGGGCATTGTCAAGTTCTTATCAGAGCCAATGACAAGATTCAAGCCTTGCAAGCGGAGTTTCGTGAATCCAAGAAAGTGTGCGGAGCTTTGAAATGTAGTACCAGTGTTACCCGCATTTGTCTGATTTGTCAGCTTGAGCTACCGTAGTACAGTCAAACCTGTTTATAACGAACAGCAGGAAATGCTACAATCAGTTCAGTATAGCTAGTAATTCCATTTAGCAGAAACCATTTACAACGAACTTCCACGATGCATTCGTTGTAAGGCGAGAGCTTCTCTTTCTCTCTCATCTCTTCACTTCCGCCTTGTAACAACGGCCTGGAATTTTTTTTATTTTTTGCACACGTGCAGACTTTTTTTTTTTTTTTTAGCTTACCTCCCCTTCTGAAACATTCTCTTCGTAGACAACCGCTTTGGGATGAAAAGTTTTCTTTTTTTTTTTTCGTGTCCGTGCAGAGTGTTTTTTTAGTTTTCTCTCCTTCTGAATCACTTCTCTTCGCTCAATTTCGTTTGTGGCTTGAGCTTCTGAAATTTTCTTTTTTCTTTCCTACTTTTTTGGGGGGGAAAGGGACAGGCTAGAAGACAATTGTTTACGTTTTTTTGGAAGCCTTCCCGGGGGAAAAAGTTTGATATAGCCAGTGTGTTGTTCGTTATAAAAAGTACTTTTTAGATGCATTTTTATTTAACTTTCCTGTGAGTTCGATATCGGCAATAAATTGTTTTAGGTGGGTTCGTTTTAAACGGGTTTCACTGTACTTCGCATCAGAAGCTTGTCAGTTTCGATCCTACCTAAATGCACGGCCGCTCGTACGGAAAGGGAGCTTCGAGTGGGCGTTGCGCGAGCAGTCTTCCCCAAACCTGACTCTTATGAACAAAAAATAACGGATGTGCATAAAAATAGGAAATTTCGAAGCTACATTGGTCGATTACAATCGTATCAAGTAATTTCTCTGGAATACCACTGCAACTCGAGGTTCCTGTTCACCCTGGGTAGAGCAGATGTCAATATCTGCCTCATCTGTACTTGTCTGCTTAGGTTTTCCAAAATTATTTTAGTGTTCTACGCATTACTGGGACAGATTGTGCTTGTTAGTTATGCTATTACATAACATTACACTACAGATTATGCTATTACACAAATTTGTCTCATTAAAATTTGGGCCAAATCACATAGGTTGCAAATTTTCACCTTTCATATGGCCCTTTTTTTAAATTCAGTCCGGCAACTATCATTGTCTCAGTATATGCATCTGTGCCCAACTAATAGACCCTTTCCAAAAGTGCACACTCTGAGCATGTATGGAACTCAAGGGCTGCGTCAGCTTTGGGCGTCAACTAGGCTCGTATTCAAAACGAATTCTGCGTCCTCATTGGGCGAGGACTCGGATCCAGTCACGCGCTTGGCGTCCAAGCGGTGGCGACCGCCAATGTTGCTTGATGGACTTTTGAAGAGGTCCCATTGCGGCCTTGTTGGAAGTTGAAGAAGCTACCGAGCGGAGGATTTGCGAGGCCCGCACGTTGAGACGTCGGTACAACGAGACGCACCAATTGGATACGACTTATCGGGTGATCCGAGAACTAACTCACCTTCCATTGACGTGCGAAAGTGACGGTGCCCGATTGTTTGACCGCCATTAGTTTCTCGAACGAGAAACTGCTTTTCTGAGCCAGCAGATGGCAATGAATTTGAAAAGGGTCTATTGTGAACTCCCTCTGAGAGCGCTGTGCTAAATGCAATCATTCGTAAATATTCGCCCATTGCTAACAGAAAGACACGCAAACGAAGGACCATATATATGCTTTTGGACTGAAGACACGCAAACTTTAATATGTAAGAATTATATATGAAAAAAAACTTTCTTGTTAAAAACCGGAAAAAGTACTGTAAAACCCTTAATTGTTGCGAATTGAAAAATTTGTGAAATTTAACCCTTTCATGGTCACTGACGTACCTGTACGTCACCGCGGGAGCGTCCCGCATGGTTGCTGACGTACCGGTACGTCCGCGACTGCTCATTCAAAAATTCGCGCCTCTGCTTGAACGGGCGCGTTCGCGGGGACGTGCTGCCATCTGGTGGATTCGTAGGGAACTACGACTGTATAACTCTGGTCGTGTTTGTTTTGGTGCGGTTTTTTAAATTGCGAAACTGGACGCTCTGTGCAAGTGATACTTTTGAGATGGTCGCCCGTGCCGGCTGCTCGGGGGTAGTGTAGTGGAGATTGGGGCGATGGCTCTTCGGGTTCAGACTTTGAACCCTTCTCGGACTCTGAGTCCGATGACAGCTCGACATCCCATGAACAACTGGAAACCAGCTCGGTTTGGAGTCTGAAGTCTGACATACAGCCGCACCGTCTGCTAGACCGTCTCAGAAGCGGGCGCGTCGAAGTTTGAGTCTTTTTGATTTCGTTCAGCCTCCAGCGAGTGTGCCGCAGATGTTTTGAAGCGTGTGTACTATTTATTTTAAGTCTTACATTTTTTTATGCGACAATAAACTAGTGTATACTCTTTGCTATCGCATCGAGCAAAAAAACCCGACCACGGGGGCGAGTCTTTGGACAAAAAATGTGACCATGAAAGGGTTAAGGGCACATCAAAATTTCGGTTCTTAAGAGTTTCAGTTCAGATGCCTGGAATTCGTGAAATTTAGTGGCCGCAATTATGTCCTTTGTGACTGATTGGCGAAAATGGGGGCCGCAAAAATAAAGAGTTTTACGGTATGTTGAATCTGGAAATAATGAAAACCAACAACACAAAACCCTAAGTATAGTTCTTTGTCTGAAGCAGATTCATTGCTGAAGATCTTGTAAAAAAATCTTTAACCTAGCAACTTTTTGTCTAGCCTCGAAAGATTTCAGTCCATATTTATGTATCGCGTCAGATACTTCAAAATGTTTCACATTGTATGTGGGTGCTCGTACGCATCAATATTTAGCTGCCCCAACAATTCTAAACACGAAATGTATGCGCTTTATCCGTTGGTTTAGACTCGACGTCGGAAGGTATTACACCTTCAGCGATAATGCTGAAAACATGCGAAGATTAGATAGACTCGCCAATTCCACGCTCCAACTTGGCAACTCAAAGGAGCACCGGAAGCTCTAGAGATGTAGATTTGTAACGTCTATGGCCAATTTTCTGCCTTCCCTTAAAGGGACACTGACAGGGTATTTATGCTCGCCGAGGTTTTTAGTTGTACGCGACATATGAGAGCTCAACTACCCAGAACAGCATACAGAATTTGCGGCTCGAAATTCGTTTTTTTTTTCCGCCTGAAAACCGCCAATCGAGAACTGGCCGGTTTGAGTCGCGCTCACTCTTTTTTCCATGGTCACTGGCCATTTTTCGAAGGTTTTTTTTATTTTTTAAAATTTAATTAAAGTCGTGGGTCATTGAAGGCACACAGTCAGTACTAAAAATATAAAAAAAATGAAGCCCATTTTTTGTGGCTTGTAGCTCAGTGGGAAGACGTCCGCTTCACACGCAGCGGGCATGAGTTCGATCCCTAGTGTGGGCGTACCATCTTTTTTTTTTTTCAAACATTTTGCAATGTTTACGTTTCTTTTTTTGTTTTTTTTGTTACAATTATCGCTGAAATAAACAATTGTTGTGGACGATACATCGCCAAACTAAGTGGTATGAGTTTCCATTTTTGACACCTGCGAACTGAATGTAGTTCCTTTCTACACAATGCAAGGAGCATATGAATCGGGTAGCGCCCGCTTTCCGAGCTTCCCGTAACTGTTCTACAGGAATTGGAGCCAGCCATCGATCCCGACCCATTGATCTTTCGGAAACTTGTGCACTCTGCTGCACAATGCCACTCTCAGATGCAAGACATGGGAGGCAGCTCTCCATGCAACATCTTGGGAGTATTCTTTTCGGAGCCGATCACGGGAATTCAGCACGGGCACTCACTACTCATCTCCCAACTCCTCAATGTACAAAACAACTCATCTTGAAGTACAGAACAGCGAGCGGAACAAACATAACTGCAAAGGAATCGCACGGCGAACGGATCGTGCTGCGCAAGGAAGAAAAAAAAAATCGTACGGTTGGGTGCAGCCACGTGATTTCCGCCACTCACTCTCTCCTCTCCACTTCTCCGTGCGGTGCGGGGGCTTCGGCTTCGGTGCCAGTTTCAAGCAGTTGCGTTTTTTGGCTTTATTAAAAAAATATGTGACTCTGTAGCAAAATAATTAAAGGGATAGTATTCCGACACCATAATAAATTGCCTGGCAAAAAATGAAAACAAAATTTTGGGGTGTGTTCGTGTCCCTTTAATGGAACTTTTTTTTTTTTAAATTTCCGCGGGTTTTAGAACATTTTTCGGCATAACCCCACCCTCGTGCAATCTCCTCGAGGTCCTCGAGGTGACTGATATAAATAATTTGCGGCTGCCAAATCGTCATATGCAGATTTGCATTTCACGAGTTCTTGTCTAACATTGAAATGCACAAAATCTGCGGAGAAAAGAAAACGAACCCCGAACAAACAGCCTCGAATTTGAAGTAAAATAAACCTTGAAGACGGGCAACCCTCCCTGTCTATGCCACCAGGAGCCGTAGCATGCGGTGCTCCGAGAATGTTTTGTATCGTGAGCTACACTGGCTAAGGTTGAGCAATTTCGTGTGATTCGCATAATGAGCTGTGCTCCGTGCTGCGCTTGCGCGAAGAGCAGTGATGTCACACAACATACTAGAGCCGCCGCCGCCGCGCTTGCCTCGCTGGTCTGCGGATTCCAGAGGAGTGACGTCATAGCCGCGGCAGATGCACTGGTGCCACAACGTGCCCAGCTGTGCGCTTTCATTGCACAGTAGCCAAGTCTGACGCTGCACCGGAGCCGCTTGATAGCGTCTCTCATTTTGTGTGCATGAGCTCACGCTACGTATATCCTGCCGTAACCGAGCCAAGCCACTGCAATTTTTCTTTTTTTCTTCAATCCCCCGTCGGAGAAAGTGAATGCTGACATTGCTGCTTGCCCTGCAGGGACAACATGCCCCGGTCAAAGGCATGTGCTGCGACGTGCGGGAGGAAGACAGCGTTCGCGAGGTTGTCGGCTGGACGGAGCAGAACGTCGGCCCCATCAGGTACCTGGTAAACTGCTCAGGCAAGTCAGCTGGGAGAGGCACTCGAGCTCCCGTTTGGTCGCCATCAGAGCGAGTTCTAGTGTCGCGGAGAGCGAACCAAGATATCGCAGCTAACTACTCGCAAAACCGAAAGAAAAGCTGGGTCATCCGCTACAAATCGAGTGCTGCAGGTGACGCGATCGAACGAGTGTTTAAGTTGGGGAACGTCCGCTATTTTACGAAGGAAGCGATCGACAACCCGCGCTTCCTTCGCAAATCTCGAGCCATCTTGGTGCCGTACACGAGCCGACGTCCGACGGTGGACAAAGAAACGCTCGGGACAATCGCGTGGGCAACCACGAAACCTCTCTCTCTGTCCATCTGTGGATGAGAAGTTCTCACCGAAATACTGCCCATCGTGAACTCGCAAACGGATAAAACATCTCTTGTCGTAGATAATGTTTGTCTAATGAGCGGTTGAGAACTTTGGCTCTCCCAGGGAAGGGGATGGGACATCGGTTGATTGTGCAGCGCCTACACTCCCTGCAGGCGTTGTTGTCGACAAGCTTCTGCTGCAGACGACTGAGGCCGACATGCGTCGTCTGCTCGACACCAACCTGATGGGGGCCATCTTCTGCTCCAAGGCGGCTCTGAAGCACATGCTGAGGCGGCGGGAAGGCAGCATCGTCAACATAGGTGACGTTTTTGCCAGTGAGGCCGTCTGCTTTGATAGTGGAAGTGATGAAATGTAGAGAAACTGACTCCAAAGACCGAGGGCCGTGAACGAATACCCAGCTGCTTTGCTGCGACTTTATTCGTGTACAAACATAATGGAAATGGGGTGCCCTCTTGGTGAGTAGTTTTGAGCATTAGCTGTAGAGGGTGCTAATGTAGCGACCAAATTGTATCTAAATTGTGGTGTCTGCTTTCAGTGATGATTTTATTTATAAACGCGGCGCGTAATAAAAGGGTTTTTTTTTGATCGGCTCACTTGGCTGGCGGTTCTCCTCACTCTCGACCGCCCCGGCCGCTTGCCCCTGAGCCCCGTGCTTTCGGAACTGCGCCTCGCTTCTACGCGACCACTTCATGGTGTCGGAAGCATGGTCCAAAGTGACTCACGATGCCAGACACCCTGGGAACTTTCGCTGTCTCGCCGCTCCTGCCAACAGCCGCTGCCTTCTCGCTCCGGTCCCCGCCGCCGTTCCTGTTTGACGAAGCCAGCCGGTGGCCTGCCTGGCTTCAGCAATTTGAAGATCACTCCTTGGCATCGGACCTGTCCGCCGCGTCCGAAGAAACCAAGGTGCGCACCCTCCTATACTGCAGGGGTCGCCAAGCTCGTGTAGTACTTTCGTCTATCATGCTGGGCGACGAGGCCTACCGCTCGTACGCCGACGTCTCAGCAAAGCTCACGGGCTAGTTTGTGCACCTTGTCAACGAGGTGTACGAGTCGAGTCGCTTCCACGAGCGCCCACAGTTGTTGGCGGGCGAGACCGTCGACGTGTTCTTCACGGCGTTGCGTAACCTTGTCAAACAGTGCAACTATCCGGCACCGGCGGTGGAGGACCGCATCGTACGAGACCGGTGCGTCGGCGGGCTGTGAGACTCTCGCCTAAACGTCGAGCAAAGGCTTCGCAGTCAAGTCCCCTGAACGTTGACGGTGCATCGAGGGAGCCAGCCAAGATGGCACTCGCCTCCAGAGTTGTAGATCCTTCTCGAAGCCGGGGCCACGGCCGGGACAGCCAGCCTCGCGGGTTGAAGGCGTCGTGCGACTATTGCGGCAACGCACGTAACTCACGTTCCGAGTGTCCAGCCGGGAGAGCTGCGTGTAACCATTGTCAAAAAAAGCGATATTTCGCGTCTGTTTGCCGATTGAAAATGGATTTACTATGGTTTATCGAACGCCCTTTCATCTAAACACGTTTAGAGAATGGGCACGTTTTATTAAAGCTCGGTTTAGAGAAAGCAGAGGCTCAGTTTAGAGAAACACCATTTAACGAAAAGGAACGCGCTTTAATAAAAGGCTTCCTGACTTCGTACATGTACCACTGGAGCGTGTGTTCGCCCACCCGCTGCCGCGCATTTAGGCCGCTTCGCGGCAACAGTCTGCGGCGGGTCATTACAAAAATTTTAACCGACCCGACCTATCCCCACAAGCAGCTTCGCGGAGGCCAAATTCGCTAAAAGGAGGCTCATCGCCATTTTCTCCAAACTAGGTTTTTCTATAAAGGAATTCGATAAACTGGGGTCGGTAAAACGACATTCTTTAAAAAGAGCTTCTCTAAACTGCATGTTTCCGCTTAAAAACAAAGCGCCTCGGCCACATCCAGCTGCACTCCAAGGAATCATTGCAAGAGCCCGGCCGGAACACCGTTGGAAACGTCAACAGCTGCCCCCTCCGGTGCAAGCTGGACTCTGGCGCAGACGTTTCTGTCGTCACCCGCTCTTTTCCGGGATGTGCTGCCTCGTTGGACCAACCCACGAGCGAGCAACTCGTCGGTCCGGGAAGCTGCTGGCTCGACCTTCTCGGGACGTTTCCGTCTACCCTGACATGTTGAGGTCGAGCAGTACACCAGAAGCTGTATGTCGCCGTCGGCGTAGACAACTCCTTTGCTAGGCTACGTTGGATTAGTAGGTGTTGGGGTCGTCCACTTCGTCGTCTTCGTAACAGACGCCGACCTGCCGAAGACGACTTCATTGCTGCCCGCTCCAACGCCGCCTGCAGCCGCCGCTCCACTCCTCGCGGGACTTTGCAGAACGAAGAACACGGGACAGGAAAAAACACAGACGGGGCAGCGCCCTGCCTGCGTGTCTTCTCGCTGTGTTCCTACGTCTTTTAGCGCTGTTCCCACCGAACAAGGGATAAATGAGTACAAGTACAGAACGGGCGGGAGGGGGGGTGTTGGAGTTTGCTGTAATGCAGAGTGAAGTGCTGGCGAAAGAGTCCATGGTGGTTGGGGGAGACTCAGTGAGTCGGCGATCCTTATCCACTACACTCGTTATCTTGAACGTTAGACCACGGCCACTGGATGCATGCACGAGGTGCGGCCAGCCGTGTTTGCCGAAAACGGCGTTAGGCGCCTAGTTCGCTGCGCCGCCGCTGCGGCGCTACTGCTCCGGGCTGGGCAGGGCTCGCAAGGGAGCTCCGCACGGGGAGCGCGGCGGCCGCCTGACCAAACACGTGCGTTAACGTGCATTTATCGCCTCGACATTGCACACGAATGTGCGTGGGGAATGTTTTGTATTGGCTATTTTCAGGATACAAGAGCTGTACTTGATACGCGGAGCACAAATGAAATTTATTCAGTATGGGTTTAAACATATCTGCCGGCGCACACGGTCAGCTTGCCGCACAGGGATAATCACCAGAATGGCCCACCATAGCGGCGGCTTTCATCGCTCAGGTCATTCATTGATGTTCACTTTCATAGAGGATCCATGTGTCATATTATTTGCTTACAAAAAATACTGTCTTTTATCGAATATGTTTGACCACTTACGGTCAGTCGCGTAAACTGCATTTTGAATATTTAGTTTTCTTCCGCTAATATTAATGATAATTGTATAGGGTCAGCTGAGCAGTTACTTGGGAATTAAAAACAGCTCGAAAAGACGAGAATTAGACAAAGTAGTGACACGGACGTAGCGCTGTCCGTGTCACTTCTTTGTCTTGTCCTTGTCTTTTCGCGCTGTTTTTAATTCCCAAGTATGTACCAACTCGCCCAAGCCTCAACTTTAGCATTGAACAGTTCGAAATTAGAAAAACCGTGAGAGGAGAAGACATACACGTGGCTGACTATCAACATGCTTCCTTTACTACTACTTCGTCTTCCTTTTTCTTTTTCACTAGAGGCAGTGATAAAAGCCATCCCCCATGTCCGCGCGCTGCACCCAATAGGGTGTTATGCGGCTCTTGGCACGTCTCGCGTCTTTTGCGTAGATTGTGATAGACAGGGTGCTCACGCACATTTGACCACCGTCTTCGATGGTGGTCAAATGAGCTACATAGTTGATACATAATTGAATAGGGTCAGCTGAACAATCTGTAATTGTTCAGCTGACCCTATTCAATTATGTACCAACTAGCTCAATTAAAACCTGTAGTAGAGTTTATGATAATCTTTGTCGGCGCTTACTTTTACAATTTATCGCAATCAACTTTATAGCTTATCAACTGCCTGTTCAGTAGCACCCAGACGCAATTAAGAATAATAAGCCGGACCAACCAACTCAGGATGCCTTCAGAGTAGACCGGTTTCTTGTTGCTGAAGCTGGTGATTTAATAAACGAAGCAGTCTTATCACCTTCCTCGGCAGCTTCCAACAACAGCCTGAAGTCTTGGATCTGCTTGTCGTCCTCATAACCTCGAAGCTGCTCCTTGATCTCGTCGTGCTTGGCTTGGGGTTTTTGAAGCGCGCTCTTCTGAAGTGCGATTTGCACTTTGAGTCGGTGCTCTGTTTTCTTTAGCTCGTCCGTCATGTGTGCAAGGCTAGCGAGGTTTGGCATGCCTCGTCATCAAGCGAAGCATTATCGCTCCACACTTCTATGCAGGCATCAGGAGCTGGAGTTTTCCTTTCATCGCGACCGGAAAGCAGGTGAGCCTCATTTATAGTTGGGCTTTCTGCTAAGTCTTCGGGTTTGGCAGCCGCCCCTTTTACCAAGCTGCCATCACTGTGGTTGCCTCGAGGGTGTTTCCTTTCGCATGTACTGCGGATAGTTGGGAAACTGGGTCGGAACTACGGACGGAAGCAGGACCCACAGTTTCGCCGTCTTTTTGTAATCGTCCTCAGTAAAATGTGGGGCACAAACCAGAGACCGGTTTTTTGGCTCCCACTGGCTTCCCTTTCCACCTGGCCCTTCTCGAGAAATGTTCTTTAGCCATGCTAGCCGACGTTCCGGGTCACAGGGAAACTCACGATACCCGATACCGGGATCTTTTCTCGTGGCTGTGCCACACAAGGGCACACAACAGTTTCGCGGCATTGCGTTACGCACAAGAAACACACCTTCCAAAGCCTTGGCAACTGGCGCACACTTGCAGGGGCAAATTCGTAACGAATAAATCGCAAACATGCCCGATTTATTCACTCCGCTGCACGCGTCCCGGCGTGGGCGAGTCTTCCCCGACTGCCAGCGCTGCCCGGACAGCAGCGCCCCCGCGAAAATAACGGCCGCGACTGGAAACTCCAGCCTCCCGCTCTCGCCCGTGTAGGGAGGCTTGACGCGGCTGGCCGCACCTCATGCGTGCATCGAGTGGCCGTGGTTAGACCTAGAATGTTCAAGAGTGAGCTAGGACTGGCCTCCTGATCTTTTACGTTCGGGGTAAAAGAAAACACGAATCTTCTAGATGTACGAAGGAGCGTTCCTTCTCGGTCATGCACGCGGCAATATGTTAATCTCATTCGGCTTCGTTTTCATTCTAATGGGACGTTTCCATTCACTACCTCCCTCTATACGGCTTTAGATTTTGTGCCTGACAGCACGTAAGGTCCCCTTATACCGAAGGTAGTGCCTCTTCTCTGAGCATTAACGAGCGGACTAGAGTGGACGTCCTGGCTGCTCCGACGTCCCACCTGTAACCATTGCGGATGGTGCGCATTGAATCGGAGACACGTGCCCTTGCTCGGTGATGGCGACGGATCCCGGCAGCAAGCCCCGCGGGCTTGGGGGAAGGGTCACGTGTCAAGAGCTCCAGGAAGAAGTAGCCCTAAAGAGAGAAGGAAATTCTTCCCTCGTAAACGCCCTGCCGTCCCAAGTTGCCGCCAAGGTCAGAATGGCAGGGAGCAGCTTTAATTGGCCCTCAATGATGCTTGGAAAGACATGCCCTTCTCTCTCGGTCACTTGGCCCAGTAGCCTAGCATAGATAGGCTTCAAATAATAAGCTCCTTTTTATTTTAGAATCCATTTTGACTCATGCGTGAATGTTTGGCGAGAAAATTTTCCCACTAAATTTACCGGGGAAATATTTTCTCTAAATTCAGCGGGAAAATTTTTGCTAAATTTTCCCACTAAATTTAGCAAGAAATTTTCTTGCTAAATTTACCGGGGAAATTTTCGCTAAATTTCACACTAAATGTAGTGGAAAAATGTTTGCTGAATTTCCGGCTAAATTTAGCACAGAAATTTTAACTAAATTTAGCAAAATATTTAGCGAAAATTTCTCTCTAAATGGGAAGGAAGCAGGTGAGGAGGAGGGGCACACCCTCCCCTCCTCCTCTAGAGCTGCGCTCTAATTCGGCATTACAGAGAATTGTAAACGTCTTTAATATTTTTCTATTAGGCAAAAATCGGAACCCCCTGTAGTCCCGAGTTTGGAATGCACTCGTGAGTGGGAATCTATCCGCCAACCGGTTGGTCCCATAACAGCTCCCAGCTGGCAATCGCTTGTTCCCCAACTGGGAATGGTAAAGCAATTGGAATGGTGGCATCCGGTTAAGCCCCCAACTGGTCACGGTTCACATCTCAGATGGTCCCACTTGGTCCCCGTCGGGACCAGTTGACTCCCAGTGGGGATTCAACCGGTCAGGCATTTTTCCCTGTTCTCTCTGGGTGCCCACAAAAGTGCGAAGAGGCATGTACAATGCCCATTGAGGAGTGGCAAAAAGAAAGCCAGCTGGGTATTTTATCCGGTGGTGTTAAATACTGCAGGCAGCGTGGTGGGTGACCGAGGCAATGCGGGTCAGGTGGTGTACGGCGCCAGCAAGGCCGCCCTGGTGGGCTTCACGCGCTCGCTGGCCAAGGAAGTGGCCTCCCGCAACATCACCGTCAACCTCCTGGTGCCAGGTAACGCCATGGTATTTCTATATGGACACTTCCCTCGTTGCCATTATTGTAGATGTGGTGCAACATCTGTCGCTACTTATAATTTTTGTTTAGATGTACGTATATTAGTGTTGTGCGAACATTCAACGTTTCGAATTGTATGCTATTTGATGTTCGCTTCGAGATAATCCGTGATATTCATATTTTTCAAAGTGCCGGAGAAGCGTGCAAATGCTTCTCCGGCCGTCCCATTCGTGCGGAGAGGGCGTAATGGGAAAAAGCGAAGGAGACGGCGTCTCTCCGCGGAAAGGCGCTCTCAACCCACTCGTTGACAGCACGGCACGAGGCAGAAGAGTCCAAGAAAAAGTATTGTTACGTCGAGTTCCTGTTACTTCTACATACAGATTTTTATGTATTGTGGTAGAACGGTGAACAACTGCTCTGGGCAAATAGATAAGTTGTGATGCTTATTTAATTTGAGATATTCATCTGGACATGTGGCAGCTAGCGCTACAAGCGCGCCTTTTGATATATTTGACTGCAATCTGTAGTGCGTGTAAAAATGTCCAGAAAAAAATTAGCTCTACAGAAAAAAATTGGATTTCCCTAAATAAAAATGATCCTGTTGCACTTCTTTTTTATCTCTGCATGTTGTTTGACGTAGCTTTTTGAGCCTGAGCAAGAGGTTTGATACTATATAGTGCAATCCGTGTTGTCCTTTTAATATTTTTAATATTTATTACGCAATTTTTGCGGGTCATATTGCGGTGTTTGCTTCTACCAGAAATATCTAAGCCGGGGTCACACTGCGTATACATTATACAAACAACAGTGTGCAGATATCAGTCACCACGATATCCGTGGTTCAAATGCCGCCTCCCAAGTGTCTCCTGGACTCGTTGCCTTGCGGCATTCGAAGCTCAGATCTCGTGGTGACTCGACTTTGAATCGGTTTGCAGACTGTTTTTTGTATGATGCATAAACAGTGTGACCCCAGCTTTGGAGAAAAAGCTGTGGCAACGAGATACAACCACCTCGCAATGATTTCACCCTTTTTTCTTTTATGAACTATGTGATAATTGTAAGTACTGATTCAAAAGGTGGGGCGTTGTCTTATAAACGTCTAGTTTTTGGCAGATGTAGCACAGACCACCGCATCTCGTTATGCACCTTGGGCCCTAATCTGGACACTTGGCGAAAAAGTCGGCGAGAAATCCCACGGCTCTGATTGGCCGGCGCCAAGGTCAAGGGCGGCGTTGGCCAATCACGCCCGCCAGATTTCTCGTCAAGTGTCCAGATTAGGGCCCCTTGTGATGTAACTTAATTGATATGCAAACAGACAATGGGATCTCAAGAAAAAGAACTCTGGTTTATTTATAAATTCCAACCTTGTTCCAACCTGGTTTATTCGGTATTTCAACCCGGTATATTTACAGATTCCAAGCCTTGAATTTTTAGTTTAGACACAAAGTACTTTGCGATGCAGTGGCTTCAAGCAGTTTCTTTTGCTACCCTGTCTGTCATAGTCACGCCTATGTTGACCAGGAAGGGCTCTACAAACTTCTCTATTACAAGCGTAGAATGTTTTGTCTCATAGTCATCTCTTGTAGCGCAAATAAAACACCTAAAAATATTTTGCTTCGTACAGAAAAAAAAAAAAAAAATTTCACGAGTACAAATAACTAGGGGTGTGCGAATACCGAATAGCAGTTTTCGAATCGAATCAAGAAAAAAAAAAGGCGAATATTGAATTGAATATTGAATAGTATGTGATTTTATTTGTAGGAATTTTTCAAAGTGTGCTGCGAATGAGATTATTATATGTGTAGAGTATGCGCCTGGTGCAGAATATGCATCTTGTGCTGAACAAAAGCTAAAAAATAAAAAAGTTCTGGTGAAAAAAAAAAAAAGAATCCAGTTGCTGTTGGACGTTGGGCGCTAAAGATCCAATTTTATGGCGCAAACATAATCTATCTGCCCTAAACGTCACAAAAAAACCAAAGTTACAGCCACGCATGCCTTTTTTTTTTCTCAATAAAAGCACAACCTAACACCGTGACTTTTTTTTATATCTGTATATTTAAAAAACGGGGCGTTTTGCGATACTTGGTCTCTATTTTAAGGGAAAAAAGGGCACCCGGGATTTTATTTCACATAAATAAACAGATAGGTGTTAAATCTGAGTAAACAGGCTTAAAGGGATGCTGAACCAAAATCTGGATTCCCCAAAACACGCGGCAAAAGCGTGAAGCGGGATGCTACGAACACCAAAACATCACTCATACAGCAATATCTCCAACGGATGACCGTATTTTTTTTAAAAAAAAGGGGCGCATTTGGCAGGAATATTGACGTCATGTTTTTCCGAGAAGGAGAGGGAACGGCCTCGCGTCTTCTCCGCCTCGCGGCTTTCAGGGAGTGAAGCGAAGAGAGGAGGAAACCAATATCTCTACGTCACGCTCTCGTCGGCCTCGTTCAACCTCGACTTTGTTTTCCAAAAATACGGCCGTCTATTTGAGATATCGCCTTACTAGTAGTGTTGTAGGGATTGTAGCGTTCAACCTACATCTCCAGCATTGTTTTTTTTAAATCCAAATTTCGGTTCATCATCCCTTTAAGGAGGGCCACTACCCAAAACAGTAAATTTTTGAACCACTCGTCGGATTTAAATTATATTTACACTGCTTGTTTCTGTTGATGTTGAGAACATTTCTGCCAATTTTTGTTAACCTGGGTGAAGTACGAAAAAAATTGCGAACGTTCAAAGACAAAAGTGGGCGTGTCTGCTTATTAAAAACTATCGTTTTGAAATTACTTATAAATTTGTTGTTTTCATGTGTTACATTGCATTAGGACAGTTCAGAGCAGAAAAAAAAGGAGCTATATTTCTATGTTATACCATCTTTTATGACAAAAAAGCCACATAAACACAAATACGTTTTTTTAGATTTCCATCCTTTGTCCAAACTTTTAGTTCTTGAGCATGAAAAATGACAAAAATAAAAAATACAAGCTCATAGTTACCTTCCCCTTAAAATTTCACCCCAGAAAAACTCATAAAAATGAATCCAAGTTGCGTAATAACAAAACAATAGTTTTCCTAAAGTGAAATTTATGCCAAAAAGTGGAATGGAGAAAAATGTGTTCAAAGTGCTCCAACCTCTACCTTTTCTTTAGCATCGGAGGACCGAAAATAATTTATAAAAAATTAACTATGCAGTGTAAACTAATGAAACTTTCTGGGAATACTCTCTAGATGTTGGTGGATGTAAATATGACATTTTTCAAAATCAACTTTTTTTTGCAGAAATTGTTTTTTCTGGGTAGTGTCCCCCTTTAAACAATATAATTCGAAGTAAGAAAACAAAATGTGGTTAGGTGGCGCTAGTCACCGTCTAACTGCCGCTATGCATTCATTTTTCCGTCTATCTATCCTGCTTTAGAGAGCCTAGCTTTAAAAGGGGGAGCAAGCGAAACTAAAACCACGGAGACGGCTCCTGCGCAGATTGGTCGTAAGTGCGCAAGTGTTGTCTTGTCGCGTAGGAAGAAGGCGAGCCGCGAGCAAACGTAAGAGGCTCGACGTTTGCCCAATCGACGCTTTCGTGTTTTCGTCACCTTCTCGCAGTTCGTAATTTAAACGTGGCTATCGAACGGTTGGAAGCCCTCTCAAATCTAGGCACACTATTTTTCCGTTCCGTTTCGTTCCGAATTGGAGTTTGCGGCTTGCGTCGCTTGCGGTTCCAAAAGAGCGCCGGTGATAACTCGGCTGCTTTCATCAACGTGGCTAACGTGGTTTTCTTTCTGTGATCGTGCAGTTGCCGATTTCTGTGAGTGCAGCAAGCGTGTTTTGCATCGGCACTTCAATTTGGAGCGAGGGGCTTTACTCGTGAAAAGAATTAGGCACGGCGCGGAATTCCGGCTTCCCAACAATTCCTCTCTGGAGGCGGCGCAAACGGGATGTTTCGGTTGTGATTCAAGGATAGATTGTGTCACGATCGTGAGTAAATCGGTGTGCTATAAAGTTTCTGGCGTTCGTTACTTTTCTTTTTTCTAACCTGCGCGTTAGATTTTTGTGAAGTGGTAGGACCAAGAGGTGTTTCTCGCATGGTCTGTGTAACATTACGGCGCTTACGTCGGGAGAAAAAACGGCTTTTTTGCCAGCTCCGCGCCGACCGCGCGTCTTTGGCCGAATATATCGAATATTCGAGTAACCGAATACTAGAAATTCGATTCGTGAATCGAATTATTCGGGGACTTTCTATTCGATTCGAATTCGTATATTCGAGTATTCGCACACCCCTACAAATAACCATGCTATACTTTTTTTTCTTTTTTTTTCTTGATCTCCGCACATTGTTTGACGTAGCTTTTCGATCCTGAGCATATGATTTGATACGACAAATGTTCAATTCTCGTATCATCCTTCTTTTCATATTTTGTTATTATTTATTACGTAAATTATGTAGGTGATGTTGTTTGCCTGTACTATAAGCACATTTAGGGCAAATATTATGGCGGTAAGATACAACCGCCTCGCAATGATTTTGCCATACTTTTTTATAAACTTCTTGATATTCATAGATACTGATTCAATTGGTAGATAGTTCTCTAGTAACTGTCTAGCTTTGGGCACATGTAGCACAAACCATCACATCCTGTTATGTAGCTGGCACTTTGTGATCTAACTTGGTATGCAAAGAGAATGAGATATAAGAAAACATAATTCTGGTTCATTTATAAATCCTAACCTTGTTCCAACCTGGTTTATTTGTCAATCGAACCTTCAACCTGGTTTAAATGCAGATTCCAAACCTTAAATCTGTAAGCTTTTTTTTTTTTTTGCTGCTAATGTTAGTTGGAAAAATCTGCAGGCTTAGGCACCTTGTTAAGAAAAATCACCTTGCTTTTCCTTTTCTGCAACCAAATCCGTGCGGAAAGGACAGAAATACAAAAATGACGAGTAGGAGTAAACAAAATCATGTGTCATAGTTGAAAAGAAAGGAAAAAGTCGCGACGAGCTTTGGACAAAACACGGACAAAATTCTAAATTGCCCACTCACTGCGTCCAACCTAAAATAAATATAAAACAATATTGCCGTCTTTTGCGGTGGTCTGCAAGAAATTGTTCAGGAAAAGCATCTCGGGGGAACCTCTTCACCCGCACTCTTATGTACAGATGGTTTACGCCGGCGAGGGTGCGCATTGTGTAGGCGTGTATGTGCAGGGGGTGCTGCCGGGGACGAAAAGGAACGCCGCACCGCAAGTCCTCTAGACGAGCATTCGTTGCACGCACACCGAAACATACAAAAACATACACGCACACACACATTCTTCAGCACCTGTCTCTCCCCCACTGTGGGCTCCTCTCTCAAACCTCCAAACACACTACCCAAAAACATGTTGCTTTGGCTTGGCTTGTAGACTTCAATGCAAGGCCCGTACGCGGCCCGGGCCCGCGGGCTGGGCCGGCCCGTGGCCTGCGGGTTCGCTTGTACCTGTGCAGATCTCTACATGCGACGCCGACGACTCGCTGACGGTTTGCCACCTAGTGACGAGCGACGGAGTTAGCGAAATTACACTCCTAGTGCCGGGGAGCAAGTAAAATAACCGGAGAAGCCGTCGCATGCGCGCTTCGGGATCTCGGAGGACATTCACACGTTTATAGAGTCTGCAACGTTGCCATGGGATGGCGCCACAGCCCTAGCAACCGTAAAGCGAGCTATAATCACCGGCGAAGTGGGGGAAGGCGGGTGTATTGGGTGTATCGGTGGGGCGCGTGTCAACCTCTCCCCCCGGGTTGCATATTTGTAAATGGTGTGTAAGTGTGTAGGCGTTGTAACCGTAGATTAAGGGGGAACGGTGGGCGATACGCGACATACCAACGGCGTTCGCCCCGGATTGGCTGCTCCACGAACAGGACGCTGCGTCGTCACCATAGTGGAGGAAATACATTTAGGTGATGACTGTCTGTCCAACACAGCGACCACATTATGTTCGGCGCACCGAGCGCGCTTCACTCGCACGGGGACAGATGGCACCCATGTATACATGGGCTTGTGAAGGCTTGTATGGAGGGCTTGGGAAGGAAATTGTGCATTCTTTACTCGGTCCCTGTCTACTGTGTGGTGAAATGATAAATTTATGTTGGCACATTGGCACTGATTGCCTTTTCCCCCGTGCGGTGGCTGTTTTCTAAACGAGAACATTCCGATGATGACTCAACGTGACAAAAATACACATAAATATAAAACTTCCCGACGCAATCTACTGGGCTTTCAATAATTTAGAGTAATTTAAAATTATTCCGTTAAACAGTTGGGTCGTGCTCGCATGTTTTGTCCGGCAGCATGTTTGGTAACAGTTCCGTAAACTGTTCGCGCACATTGCGTGGCGTTATAGGAGGTTGAGGGATTTTTTCCGCCCTGCTCCTGCCTTCTTATTGAAAAAAAATAAATTATAATAATGTTACATAGTCAAACCTAAATAATTCTTTACGTGTGCGGAAAGGTATTAGCATTACAAATGGTTTATACATACAATGTCAACTGGTGCTGTGGTACATACAAACCATGTGAGTAGAAAACACTTTTATTTATGATGACATAGTGGCTGAAATGATGACACAGTATGATGACATACTGACTGAAATGATGACAAAGTGACTGAAAGTCAAACAGTAGTAGCGGTTATAGGACATCAGTCACTTTTAATCTATACACACAATATTGTGTCACCCTGTCTCACAGGTAAAAAAAATGCCTGACAAATATTTTTACTCTAAAATGTACACAGAAGCTGAATTCACTGCATTAGAGTGACCACCTGTCCTGCAACTCGCAGGACTGTCCCGCATTGAGGGCTTGTGTTCCGTGTCCCACGAGAAATTCCCAAATCTTCAAAATGTCCCACATTTCACTCTCTCGTAAAATTCACTCAGCAACTCGTGGTGCTGTCGAACAACGGGGCACGGCCGGGGAAGCGTGGAGGTTGCTGGGAATCGCAATGGTCCGCCATTTTCGATCCAAGCATTGCGGGAAGTGACCGTTTTTCTTGCAGGAGATACGAAGCGCATGCGCCGTTGTGCCTCTCCCCTTGGTGGCAAAATATTGTAAGCAAAAAATTGCCCCCCAGAAGTTGAAATATAAATTATTGTTATTATTTTCGTATCGTAGTGTCAATGCAAAAGGGTTGCTGTGGAAATCTTTTTTTCTTTTTCTTTAGTTAAGACAGCGACGTTAGGTGAAAAGCCTCAACTGTCGAAAAAGAAAATAATGTTAAAAATGTGTGTAGGACCATGTTGATAAAAGTAAGCGTTGACAGGAAACAATAACCTGAAAAAGGTTTACTCGATGCATTGAGTTCTGCTGCAGATGATTTTTATGCTGTCAACTTCGACACATTTAATAACATAAAAATATATCCCTGGGAGTGAAAATGATTTTAGCTTAATTGCTGCAATGCAATATGCAGGTGTATAAACAGCACAGGATATTAAACGTGTTAACAGAGCTTCGGTTCGTGGTGTGCGTGTTCGTAAATCTCCCTCCTCCCGCGTGTCCCGCATTTCGCTAGCAGGAGGGTGGTCACCCTACACTGCATACTACCAAAGAGTGCCACTACCTACATCCTGTGTTTCTCGCCCGCACTCCTAAACTCGGACGAGCACTGCTTTGCTGATTTCTTCTTTTTTCGAGCTTTTTTGTTAATACTCATGGTAATATGCTTACAGTGTTGTCGCATTCGCATGCTGATGTAGTAGTGGAGCAACTGGGCAATTGTTTCTTCTTTGTGTTCAGCGGAGGACAACGTTATTGTGGATGTGTCAAGAGCACTGTCGATTGTGTCTCACTAGACAGTCTGGTGGCTTTTGTATTCCACGAAGAGCTGTTCCGCTTTCTTCAGTAGCTGGAAAAGGTTCCTGTTGGGGTGTTTAGGGCCTCCTCTGTTCTTCACGTTTGTTAGTACTGCTTCAGCAGAAATGTTCTTCTCGATGCTGAAAACAGATCGGCATGCAGGCCAGCGTGTAGCTTTTTTTTTTCCATTTTTACACTCAAAAACCCAGTTACATAATATGCAGTCCACAGCCTTGGTTCCTTCAGCCTTTTCTGTCCAGACATCTTCCCATTCCCAGTCTTCGACAGAATTTAGACTGTTAAGCTTGGTCTTCACTTGGTCAACGATATGAGAAGACAACGGGCTTTTATCGTCCATTCTGATCAGGGCTTTGAGATTTGACACGTCATGTAGTAACCTCTCCCTTTCATTTACTCTACAGTTGCCGAACTTTGGAGGCTTCAGGATAGAGTGGAAGAAACACCCCAAATTGCAGTTGGTAGTGAAGCACGTCTTTCTTAGCCGTATACAGCATTAATTCCTCTTCGGGTTCAGGCTCGCCTTTGTGCACGATGGTGGCACCTGTGATTGACACAGCACCAAAGCAAAACACGAGGCCAGCCGCTGGCCGCACACCACCACCACAACACCACACCGGGAAAAAGGCAAGCACGCTACGCCGCCGACACTGTGGCCTAAGAGGAGGGACTTCATGCCCACGGGGCTCATAGCTCAGCGCCCTCCGTGGCGGTGCGGAACGAACTACTCCTGGTTCGAGACTAGCTCCGAACACGACCTGGTCGCTCCTCCTCGCGGGAGGAGCGGCCAGAGTCATCACATAAATGTATTTCTTCCACCGTGGTCGTCACACGCACAGCAACGCCCACTTGCTGCGTCGGCTGTCAGTGGGCGTTGCGCGTATATCACTGATAGCTAGAGTTGCGTGTCTTTTCCAGATGCTGCTGCGCTGCTGTTCGCTGAGATCTGATCACGTGACGAGCAGACTCAAATGCCGTGCAGGAAAGTAGACGTTGCACGCACCCCGCCCCCTGCTTTCGAGTGCGCCGCACACGTCGAACGCATGGCGCCACTATTCGCCGAATTCAGTCACGTGGGGAGCAGGCTCCAAGTGCCGCGCAGGAAAGACGGCGCTATCGGGATGAACGTGCTACTCTGGCTCTTGTAGGGATTCTATACAAGAACTCTAATCACTCGGATCACTAGGGTCTGTGGCGGCTCATTCACGCGCCCGAATGGCACACGCGCAACATTGCCGCCAAGCACCGTGAACAGGGCGTCCCAGTGATACACATGCAACGCCTGCGGGCCGACACAGCTAGAGTAACTCTGGTTGCAGAAAGCGGAGCATATACAGTTACTTTAGGTGCAGCAAGTGCGTCCTCTTTGAGGGGCAGCCAATCCGACGCAAGCGGCTTTGCCATGCCGCACATCGCCTAGCGCCTACCTCTAGTGAGAAATGCATGCCACGATCGTGGTGTGCACGTGCGTTCTCTGCCCAAACGTCTCGAGGCTCAAACTGACTATTTACGAAAAAGCTGGATTACAATAAATACAATTACTGGGACTATGCAAGTAAACAAAGCACGTAAATAGTGAACAAATGGCATAGGCACAAGAAACGCGACTCCTCTGTGCCAGGCGATCTTCCTGCGTTGTAGCTCTAGGCTCAGAAGGAGCCATAAATCTCACATTCAGTGCAAAAGACAAGATTGGGCGGGCAATTTTTTTTTTCTTTCTGTCGCAGGATTCATTGCAACACAGATGACGACGCCCGAACACTTGGAACGGGTGGGTCCTCACATCCCCCTTGGAAGGGCCGGAAGCGCGGACGAGGTGGCCGAAGTGGTCCACTTCCTCGCGGGCGCCAGCTACATGACCGGCCAGGTGGGATCCGCAGCACGTTCGCCGATGCGAGTCGTGGCATCGCTCTTTCTTTCGCAGGCGGTTTCTGTCGACGGGGGATTGCAGCTGAAGTTCTGACCAAGCCCCAAGGAGGACGGAAATGAACTTGCGGCACGTTTTTTGTGTCAATAGGCGTGGCGGCTTTCATGATGTGACACTCCACTCGGCGGCAACCAGGAGACAATAGAGTCCACAGGCGCAATATCAAAAGAAAACAAGACACTGTCATAAAGGTCGCGGTAGCCGCTGATGGCAAGGAACGGAGGAAATAAAAATTTTCTCATCGTGTGAAGGAACACTGTTCTCACTTTTAAAACAAGCAACAAAAAGCGGGGGGTGCAAAGTTAAAGCAGTCCTTTTACGTGGATCCGGGGGCGTCTCACTGGGTACCTGTGGGAGTGGGACAAACCTGTTAGACAAATCGCGTGGAGGAGTAGCCCCTGCCCAGCATTCTCGCAGCAGTTCCGTGGCTTGTCTTGTCTGTCTTGCAGGCTGCAGGAATCCACACTTGTGGGCAGAGGCCATTCCTCTTGCGGCAAAGGTACCTACCATCCCCGAGACGCTGGCACACTTCTCTCTTGAGCTTTTTGGTCCACCGCTTTGTGCCGAGTGTGGACGAGCCTCTTGCAGGATCTTCCTCGCGGTAGTAGCCTCGCTGTCCGGCGTTCTTGGAGTAACCACTTGCGCAGCTACGGGGCTTCACGAGAGCCGGGCTTGTATTTGGCACGAAGACCGTGTGCCCTTGCACCAGGTAGCCGGGCAGTTTTGCGGTGCACGGGTAGCCTGGAGGAGGCGGCAGGCTGCAATTCGGAAGCACCAGGACGGGGGTCGGCGGGTAGCCCGGTGCAGGTTGGCATCCCGTCGCCTGGCCGGCTGCCGACCAGCCGGCAGAGGACGGAAGCGGAGGGCGGTGCCTCCTGGTCCGACGACGGGAACGACCGCCTGTACCGCTCTTCGGTGATGATGTCTCGGGGCGCCGACTTCGAGATCCGGGGGTCCTGGAAAGAAATTGTAAAGCTGATTTGTCTGGTCGGTGCTTACGGAGTTGAACCCCGTGACACTAAAAATACTGATATGGCTCCTTCACTTCTAAACGAGAGGCTTGCAGTTTTGATATTGACGTGGGAGTGGGCGAGTTGGCAGCGCACGCGGCTCCCACACAGAATAGCCGGGTTAAGCGCGAAACACATGTACGACGAAAACCTTCCGATCCGACGTGCGGACTGCCGGAATGACCTTGGGGGGAGAGGGTTTTCGTAGCATCGGAGAGCGTTGAAAACCCTCGCCTCCGACCGTCGTATTGCGCGGGTCGGACGTCGGTTCGAACGGTTTCATTAAAAATGTAAAAAAAAAAAAAAAAATTAGTTTGTAACTATTCTAGTATTTGGGCTACAAATTTTCTAGAAAGCTTGAATTCCTTCAAACTTGCCCCTTTTTCAACCTGCTATTCATGTGCACTTCTGAAGAAAACGGAGTCACCAAAAACATTTTCTGACAATGCACTACGCAAGGTAATTCCTTTCTTAGCATATCTCCAACGAGATCTTCGTTCCATGTATTTCAATAAAAATACATGGAACGAAGGAGGATCAAGTTTGCACGCCGGTGAAAGCCTGAATTTCATTTTCCCGAGCGATTGTGTTATCTAGATATTTGATTCTAAGTCCCTTTTCATGTAAATCAACCGGCACGGCAATAGGTTGTTTGCACATGACGTCAATCCGCCATTTTGTTGTTAGTTTGTTTTTTCAAACAAATTTACTACATTGAAAGATTACATCGTAACCGGTTGAAATGATGTCAGCGGTGCTCTACGCATTTGAGAAGGCATGCAAATCCTTGAAATGCTCGAGTTTGGCACACGCCACACAGATCGCAACAACAAAATGGTGGACAAAATTACGTCAGTGAAAACACCCTATACAACTAAGCTACAAGAGCGAGCTCTTTGCTCAAGGAGGCATCTTGGCTTCATGAAGTCTCGCTCAGCACGAGCAACTGTTAAAGTTAAAGCTATGAGCACAGGCTTCTAACTGTCTGACAGTACCTTTAAAACGCTGTTGTAAAAATCGCCAGGAAAGCAAAAACTTCTGTATGAAGAGTTGTTTTCAACGCTTGTCGAGTCTAATAAATTCTGCGACAGGGCAACGGCGGTGTGCTTGTTCTGTTTTATTGAAAACTGCCTGTACGTGGTGTTTTAAATCGTGATATAATATCAAGTGCAGCCCAAAGTAATCCTTTCTCAAGAAAATCTGTTGTCTCTGGTACAGTCGGCTGCTTTGCAACGTGACCCCCCCCCCCCCCCCCTTGGCCTTCGGCCTTTCGGGGGTGGGCTATCGGGCCCACAGACGCGAATGAGTTCGAGACACCTGGGCTAGAGAGACCGCCAGGGCACCAGCGGCGGGCGTGTTGAGTGGGAAGGGAAAATACGCACATTAGTCCCCACGAGCGGTAGAGGAAAAAAAAAGAAGCCTTTGTGGGATTTTGAAGTGGCTTCGAGTGGGCGAATACAACAAAAGGAACTGCTTCTTGAAGGGGTACTGACACCTAAAAGGTCGTGCTTTTTTGTTGTCGAAAACGATGCAAGTTGTAATCATAACACGTAAAAAAAAAAAAAAAAAAAAAGAACGTTTGCACATTTTTTTATTTTATTTTCGAGGTCCTTCTCTCCCGCTCCTCACCTCGCTTCCTTTTATTTGTGACGTCAAATATCATGGAATTTAGAAGCTTTGTAGGCTACATTTCTACAGCATTTTAAAACGGCATTCGTAAAATTTTTGAAATGCCGAAAATCTGAGTCCGGTGTGATGTCACCTCCTGGCTTTTTATCCTCCCTCGGAAAACATACCGGCGCTCGACGCATGTTGCGCAGGATGATCGGTGCGTCAGGAAATCGGACAAAGTGGTTTTGCTTTAAGGGCCCTAGGACCTCTAAGACTTTGTAAAGGAAATTGTCAAACAGTCAAAACAACTGGGTTTGGTGTCTGTATCGTAGTTTCGGCTGTGATTCGGCCGGGGCAGTCTTTCACGGAGAACCGGCACGACGTGGCCCCTCACAAAAGTTCACTGCGTGTTCTTTTCGACCTCACACCGTTTCAAAGAATTTGCAGATCGCTAAAAGGGCCCTAAAAGAACTTCCAACTCGAAAATCAAGCGTCGTCTGCTCGCAGCCGGTTGTATGGCCGGCGAACACGACACTTCGGAGGCGTCAGAGAAACTCGACTCGCAGAACGGCTCAATATTTAACGTCACTGCACTGGCGAGGATCGCACGGGAACTTCAAATTCGGAATTTGGAAATTGTTTTAGAGCGCAGCTCTTTAGGCGCCCGTTTCCGGCTTGAGCGGCGTCGCCGTCGGCGTAACCGCGCGGTGCATTATGGGAAATGCTCCATAATGCGACGCGCGGGACTTGTGACGTCACACGAGGGTCCCGCGCGGTGCATTATGGGACATTTCCCATGATGCAACGCGCGGGGAGGAGGAGGAGGGGAGAGGTTGAAGGATGAGGGGAGAAGGAGAAGGTGAAGGAGGAGTAGCAGGGAGGGTGAGGAGGAGGGAGGAGGCAACACCTCCTAGAGAAGAAGGCTCCGAGTGGTTACGTCACAATATCGGAGGAAGGAACTTCCATGGCACAACTACGTGAGAAAATATCTGCTATCGACGTGAAAAAAATGTTTCTTGTCGAGCAGTGCGGTGGTGTTCGTGCGCGTTTACCCGATATTATTATATGTTTTAAAAGCAGTCTTGTACAATTTATTATATATATATATATATATATATATATATTATATATATATATATATAATATAAACGTAATATACAACGCCTTACCAAGGTTGAAGGTACCAAATTTTTATGAGTATCCCCGTAACTGCAGGACTACATGCAGTCCCGCAGCTCCCCACATTTTTCGAATGAAAAGGCTCCGATGTGACATCATCCCTCATATGGGCTCCGATTCTGGTAATATTACGTTGTGTGTGAGCTGCTGACTGTCTGAAAAGGAACGCTGACACAATTACAGAAGGGATGGGAACCGAAAAAAAAAAATCCAATCATCGCCGCAGAGAGCGCTGCTCTCGTGTGTTGTACTTTTGCGGCTTGTTTTCTTCTTCCCGTCGTATTTCTGTCGTCACCCCCCGCCATAAGACTATGGGGGGGCCTCGGGGCTCGTGCCCCCCCTAGGTGAAATCCGGGGGGGAGGGGGGGGGGGGTTGGCAGAGCCCCCCCGGGCCCGGGCCATGATCCCTTACCGAGACGCTGTTTACGTGCCATGTAACGAGCTTCGTAGCAGCATGTAAACAAAATAACGCCCACGTTGCCTTTATTGACAAAATACATGGGAAATGGAATCCTAGCGTGCTTTCGTTAGGTTCAATCTCCAGTTCTGGCGAAAAGGTAGCGCGCAGCAACCCCCCCCCCCCCTCCCCTTGGAAGAACTCAGCCTGCCCCCCCCCCCCCCCCCCCCACCGGGAAAATGGAAACTCAGCCTGTCCCCCCCCCCCCCCCCCCCCCCCCCCCCCCCCCCCCCGGGGAAAATGGAAAGTCTACGCCGCTGGTCACCGCAGTCTTGGGTAGTTTTTTTTTGTGTTCACTTGATACTATGGCATTTACGTGGATTCGTACTACGGTTTGAGTGACATGTGTGACAACTATCTAACGATGACTCTGGTCGATTACCGATAGACCTCTCACGACAGAGACTTCTCGGAGTTCGTGTTCAAATGTTTTCGTTACGAATATTGTACGACGTATGGATGCGATTGACAGGTGAGAAACAACTTATTTACGGGCTTTCTTAATCATGTAGGACGCAAGCAAAGTGCTGCTATCATTTTTTTTTTAAATCTTGTGATAGAATGGAATCTCGTTCTGTGTCTTTATCTGTGTGCAGTTGCGTCGACATTTGCGAATATGCGTGGCAATCTAGTTTTCACTGGAAGGTGAAAACCAAGTTTGTTTGATTATTGATCACACAAACTTGTTTTTTGTGGTTATGTGTTTATTTATAATGTTATTTTATTGCCTTTACCGCGTTTGCACTAGAATCTGAACTGTGTTAAGGTAATAGTATAATTGTCTACAAAATAAGTTATATTTTCTTGTAATGCAGCTCGAGCCCATAAGGAGAAGTGAATTAGTTGACTAAGTAGTAAGTTTAGTACCCCTGCCACACGGAATGGTTAATATATTTTCATTCAACGATATGGCATTTAATCAGCTCGCGGTCTTGTGTGATTACACCAGCTTCGCAAGCTGATTTGTCGACCCCATAATGTCATTCGAT